AACAAAAAAAAAAAAATATCAGCTATGATATATACTATAGGAAAGCGTTTTATACGGATTTTGTTATGAGTTATCTTTGAAATTTAGTTGATGATAAAATTAATCAGCAATGTTAGAATAATTATAAAGTGTAATTGTTCTAATTATCAACCTGTATGATTTTGGTAGGAGCAGTATCGAATATTGTAAAATTAAGGTTAATTTGACATTATACATAAAAAATAGGTAATAATTAATAATATTATTAAATTGTCAAAAAGCAAAGACATTAATATTTAATAAGGAAAAATAAAAAATAAAATGCAAACATAGACTATAGAAAAAAAAAAATAGTTAGTAAAATTTTCTCTGTATAGGTGTTTTAAAAAAAAAATAAAGACACACATCGAAGTACCAACTCAAATGCCTGCTAATATAATTAATTGCATACAATATATGCAAAGGTTGTGCAACTTAAATTTTGATTTACCTCTTTGCCACTACCCAACTATTAGTATAATGAGAAAATATTTATGAACATAGTATATAAACCAAGGTCGAAAATCAAACAGGGCATCCAGTTCAACCGCTAGGTCACTCTGTCAATTATTGAACTGAATAATTAAATTTAAACTTTGTAAACTATAATATTTTTATCATATAAAAGTATACATAAAGTAACAAATATAAATGTTATCACCGAGAAATGATAGATGAAACCAAAAAAAGGAGAGATGAAAATGAAAGTAAGATAAATTGTATTTGTGTAATCAACCACACATTTAATATATGAAAAATGGTGTGAAAATCTCTAAAAATCTCTACTTTTTTCTACTATAATTTTGTTTAATAAATAAGATCCTTTAATTTTTTAAAAATATAATTTGTTAACTAATAACTAATATTACACAATTTTAGATAAAATTCGGATACTCATGTAGTATTTTACGTGCTAAATAATCAAACTAAGAATATTGTACATAAGAAAGTATTTAATAATATATAAATTTTATTATTTTCATAATATTTTTAATGTCATGAGATAATTTACATACAAAATATCTTTTAAAAAGTAAGTAGGTAATACATGCTCTGTGCATCGCACAGGTCCTGAACTAGTGTTTTAGGGTAATGTTTGTGAAAAAATTAAATAGTTGCACTTTTATAAATGTAAAATATTAACACTAAAACAATTAGAAAACAATATTATGATATTGTTGATTATATGTGACCCAAATCTTTCTTGATGCTATTGCCTAATCGGTAGGCACAACACTCGATCGGAGTGTCCGTCTTGGGCTTTGAAAATAAATTGACCTAAAACAATGAAATATAATATTTTTACAATAATAAATCATGTAGGATTTGCTTTTCAGCTTTTGGAGTGCAGTGCATTGATTTTTAAATTAGTAGTACATTAATGTAATATTTTGGGCTATATGATTTTTTTTTTTTTTTAAAAAAATATTTATTGTGTAGAGTTTATGTATTCTATCAACTTTTCTCTCTATTTTGGTAACATTATAATTTTGACGTATTTTTTAGATGAAAGAGAGAGACATGATAAAAAATTAAATTATTATTAGAGAGAAGGAGAGAAAAAAAATAATAATAATATAATCATCAGATAAAATAACTAAATATTTGGTTAATGGCGATTTATTTTAAATTTTAGTCCATCAAAATAGTAATCCTCTTTTAAATTAGAACGACATCTATAAAAGAACGAATGAGGAAATGGAGTCTAACAATGTTTTTAAACTCGACTCGACTCGACTCAATAGATGACTCATGATGGCATCCAATAACACTCATGATGGAATTCAAGTTATTGGATGATCAATTAAATTGATGGTCATCAAGCCAATTATTTATAAATTAGATAATTAATTTTAAAAATTTAAATCTTTGTTCATAAAAATAAAAATAATATAATTTATATAACTTTCATACACCAAAGTCATCATAGTATTTTATCTCCGTCATACATAATATGTAATATATATATATAATTATTTGCAAAGAATTTAATGTAAAAATAAATTATTTACTGTTCATATATAGCTAAATTTGAAAAAAAACCCGTTATATTGTATACTAATCAAATAATTATGTTTATTTTTTTTATTTTATTACATAATATCTACTACGAACGAATCATAAAGTCAACTAAATGATATATAAAAATTGTATTCATACAAAAATTCTATTGCAAATGTTTAAAACTATTTATTTTAAACTATTATATATTATTATTATTATTATTATTATTATTATTATTATTATTATTATTATTATTATTCAGCTCATAATAACCTTTTTATTAAAATTAACTATTGTTTTGTTGCATAATCAAACCACTTAAAATTATACACACAATTCAATATTTTTTTAGCTTATTAAATGATCATGATCACTAAAAATTGTAAATGGTACCTTATTGCAATCAATGTAGTGATTCATAGAAAAGTAAAATAACTAATGTTTTGCATATATTTATTTTTACTAATAACACAATTTACAAAATATGATATGTTTAGTATCTAACGTATGATTTTAAATATTATATATACAAACAATATAACTTACAAAATATATATTCATCTAGTGGGCCACTTAGAGAAAGGGATCACCACAAGGTAGCCCAAATTAGAAATTTATTTGGGCTCAATTACTACTGTTTTTTTATTGCTGTTTTAATTTTAATGGTCAATAATAGTGTTTTTAGCTTGGTAAAAAATGCCATCTCTCCAGGTACATGAATCACTATTTTGTTCCTCGTACCTGAATATGTGTGGAAAAAATGTCGGATAATTAATACAGATAATACACGTATTTATGATTGGGATAAAAATGTTGGATAATTTATGCTGATAATACACGTATTTATGATTGGGATTAGGCTAGTTAGGTACCATGCAAATTGTGCTAGGCTAGTTAGGTAACTTAGGCTGTCCCAGCCTAGGGCTAAGGGTCAATAGATTGGGCTAGGACTGCAAACGAGTCAAAAGGCTCACGAGTCAATGCTCGATTCGAGTTTGGTCAAACTCGAGCTCGAGAAGTTCAATTGAGCAAACGAGTAGCATCATTTGAAGAGGCTTGTAAGCTCGATGAGTTGTTCGACTTTATATTTACAGAAATACCGCCTATAGTTTAATTACCAATATTAGAATGTACGCTAAGACCACAATTTTCCATTTAGATTAAAAATAGTACCATTATATTTAAAATTTATTTGTTAACATTTTGAGCCGTAGCCGAGCCATGTCATGCATCGAGTCGAGCTCAAGCATTCTTATTATTATTATTTTTTTTCACAAATCAAGTCGTGCAATATTTAAATGGCTCGTCGAGCTCGAGCAGTGAAAAAAAAAATGTTTGATATGCAAATTGGGCTATAGAATAGTCCTATCTATTTAGGTAAATAAGACAATTTACAAAGTAGGCGTTGAATTAAACCAAATTTTGACAGCTTCATATACAGCCAAATAAACTAATTAATGAGATCTTTGGATATTTTCAATTTGGTTCCCCATGAAACTTACTGTAAACATGAATCTCAATCTAGGGCAAAAATGCAAAATTTCCCACCGATTTTGACCTCATGGCAAAAAGAATAAATTATTTAAAATAATAATTTGGGACTATAATTAATAAAATTGTTGATATTGTGCCCTAAACCACCTACAATTTGAGGATTTTTTTCCAAATCAGGCCAAGTAAACTTAGGTGTGGATTGAATTTGACAACATTGGAACAATAATTAATTAAGTTTTGGACATTGTGCCCCTAAACCACATCCAATTTGGGGATTTTTCCAAATCAGTCCAAGTAAGCTTTTTGGTGGAGTGCCCATGTGGATTAAAATTGACAACTCATCTATACCTAATAGGTGGAAAATTTCACTCTACAAATGATTGGAGTGCACTCCTTTATATGTGTATTTGCGCATTGATCCAATGGTAAAAACTCGACAACTGCAATGAGTCCAATCACTGATAACATCGAATGCTCCCTAAAAAATGTAGACTGATAGTTGTCAACTTTTCTTATGCTTGTGTTGGGTTATTGAATTATAATTATACGTTGTGAAACGATTGTGATTTTAATTAAAATTAAGGTTTTTGTCTCTAAAGAAGTTGGTTCAACATGACTAATTGATATCGTTTGTCCATAAAGGCATAAAAAGAGTCATGTCAAAACTTCAGATATAAGCATTCGAGCTTGTTTGTTGACTTTTGAGCGTGGCTTGGTAAAGGCTCAAGTCCGAACTCAGCTCTGAAAAATACATATGATAAAAAATGAAGGTAAAATTAGAAACAAAAAAATACATATGAACAAAAAAGAAGGTACAATTAGAAACAAAAAGAAGAAAATTAAAGAGAAAAAAAAAAGAGTCAACTCACGAGTAGATGCATGCATTTACACACTTTAAAAAGACTTTTTTTTTTTTTTTT